CTAGTGCTATAGGTTACTGGAAGTATTTCAACCAAGCAGACGAGCATGAGTGCTCATCGAAGGTTCACTTTACAGTTTGAGAGTAATTCGGCGGTTGATCGTGGGTGCTGTCTATGACTCATGGGTGCTGGGTGGGTGCCTGAACTCGCAATTATTGATCCGTGATTCATTCATTACCTTTCTCAAGGCAATCCAAGTCGGAGAATTTCCTATGTCAACACTTATAGATCTGCAATATACATAGTCAAGTTCGTTGTTTTGTCTATACCTGATTACAGCCTTTTTTGTCTCCAAGACATTTTATGATACTCTCCTATGTCGTCGCTTCGTTATCGTCATCAGGGTACCCGTTGTAATGCCAATAATGCAATATATTATTTTCAAGTTCGCGCTCCGACTACATAGAGCGTAGCACTAGCAGGTTGCTACCTTCTGGTATGTCTACGCCAAAGGAAAAATCCAAGGTTAGTTCATTTTTCTATAAGCCCCAAGATTGTATTCCACTGCTTATCCTTACAAACAGTTCATTCCCACTGTTACTTGCTCATAGTCATGTCTTCCAGGTGAGAGTACGGAATTTCTTTGGTCGTATTTTTTCACCTGGTACGAGTAACGAGAAAGACAAAGGAGATTCAAGCGACGATTCTAAACCTTCATCCAGCCTTGACATAAGCCAACCCTATAATACAGTTCATCGGTAAGTTATCGTGCATTCGATCTAACCCTATTCTTGATATGACTTGTACTTGAGCCGTGAATTGGATGCCGTCTTATTTCTTTCCCCATATTCTTATTGCGTATGCTCGGACTATTCTTAATGTTATTTTTCCTCTAGTTAACTTCTTTCTGAAGATTATGTCGTTTAAAGCGTCGCCAATCTATTTATCATGCAGGTTAAAGCTAGACGAGGGGCAATTATGGTATTTTCGTTGGTGGTGCCTTCGTTAATCAGAAAAGTAGCGAAAGTTGTTTCCATTCATGATCCAGTTCAATTACTGGAAACAGCATTAGGAAATTCTGGTCTCTTTGTGTAGTTTGCCCTCACGAATTTTTCATCTTGGATATCACAAAAAGAATATCTACATTGCCTTCCACAAGTTCGACCATCTGGCTTCGCTTGTTTTTATTTATAGACCAGACCATCCACTGATTTTGCCTGATTGATTTTGTGGTTCTATAAGTCGTAGCCGTTATTCGTGGTGAAGATATTGGCTTTCGCAGTCGCCTCATTATTGTGCTGTTCTGCTTCGTCAACATTTAAGATGTTGAATGCGGTTTAGTGTTATGTTACCTTGTGAATCCGGCATAAGAAGTTACTTTATCTTTCTCACTCCATAATTATTCTTGGATAGACTCTCAGCTGTAAAACAATTTGGACTATTCAAGATCCTTTTACAGAATATTTTTGCACTTGTGAGAGGTGAATTCATAACTCACATTTTGATGTCTGGGGTAATCAGAAGAATTTTCTCTCGCGAACCATGGAAAATGAGCAAAGTGTGGGATTCAAACAGCGCTGCGAATTGTTTAATTTGCTTGTGCCAAGAAGCATATGATCTAAAGTGCACAGCCTTGGTAATTTTAGTGGTCTAAAGCTCCAAAAAGTGAAGGTCTTTCTTGTCCTTACCCCTACTGTGTTGAGAAGATACGGCTTTCCGGCCTCAGTCTCAGCTGTTTTGATCTCATAGTTGCAAATACATATATAAAAAGTAAAGATGTGGTTTTTGAAGCTCTGAGATGATATCCCAGTTCCTCCTTGTTACTTCTATCTCGCTATTGGACTTTTTTTTTGCTTGGTAAAATCCCTCTCGAGGGCGTTGTGCAAAAACGCTGATCTTTTTTTATGGTAAACATGTTCAGAATACATGTGGGTTACGATGGACAAAAATTCAGTGGATTGCCGGATACGTGGATGGATTCACTGCTCCGAGATATCAGGTTGGCTCGAGTTGACATTATGTTAGCTCATGAGTGATCGACCGTTGATAGAGATCCTGAATACCAAACGTTCAATTTGTTGCTTCTACGTACAAAGCTTCAGAACATAACTTCCTTACCCGCTGAACCGTTTTATGAGCAATGTTACTGAGTTTTTTTCTAACCATAATTCAGTTCCTCACAGCGGAAATATCCGTCATGGTGTTGTGTGTAAGCCCGAACAGAGGCTGTGGTAGGGTAAAGTTGGATGAAGAGTTCAGGAATCAGCCTTAGGAATCCACAGGAATTCGCGAAAAACTCCCAATGTAGAATATGCCGCTTAAAATGCATAATATTTGCGCTGTTTTGAATCCCTTTGAAGTAGCAATTCTGGCAGCGGTTATTCCGAAAGGTCCTCATTTTACTGCACTTGATATGTCGAAAAAAGTTTCCCAAGTAAATCTGAATGTGTATCCTAGCATCTTTCAAAGATCTTTTTGCGTGTGTTCCCCAACGAAGGAGACAGCTGAATTTGTTGTGAGTCCTAGTTCGTTCCTCTGTAGAACAATACAGATTCGCTACCTCTGTACTTCGGAAAGATTACAATGTCTGTAAAGACGATGAGATTCAGTCAGTGAGAACTGCTAGCAATGAAAGCCACCTAGCAAAAATCAACATTTAGGTCGTTCCGTATCTCAATCTGTAGCTTTCCGGCATACATATTTTGCTCTATCTTGGTGATAGTTTCAGGGTCATGTTAGGAACGTCTATAAATTAACCAATTCCAAATCTTGCCAAAGTCAGCAACTTCAAGCGACTTCATAGATAATTTTTACTGATGAGTAATAGTTTATTCGTCAGCCCTAAACACTTTGTTAGCGTAAAAGTTTAAATTACTGGATTTTTCGAAATAGTGCCCTTTTCAGCGGAAAATTCAGGAAAAGCGAAATATCTTCCTCTTATGAAGAGAACGTGTATCAGTGAACATGGATTCAATATTAGGGTGTTATTTATTTTTATTTATTTTATTGAGGGTGAGTAATTATCATTAGTTCTAATATGAGTAAACTTTGCGTTTCACATTCTCGATCAGGCTTTGTTCCAAAAACATTTTGAACTTTGCTCATAGAGTGGTTCGGAGGATACAGGAGACCGATAGGTAATAAGTGTCCAGAGAAACATCCGGTGTTCATTTCACACGGTCATTACAAAAATCATTAAATTTAATAATCGGCTTTTATATTTACAGTGAAGCAGATCAGAAGAAAAACCCAAATGCAGTCGTGACTGCGTTGCGGTTCTATGCTGCGTCCATGAAGGAAAAAGAAAAGGCCAAGTTCATGACCACAACCAGTGTCTACAATCCCAGTGATGAAGATTGTGATGATGTTGAAATTCAATTAAATGGTCAAGTTACTGGGCATCATGCCCATGCTCCGACACCGTCAGGCGTCAATGGTGTGTTTAACAATAAGAAGTCTTGCCATAAGTTTTTATGATGCTTTCTTATGTACACCTTTGGTGTAATGTTCAAAAACCTTTGTTCTTCGTTTCAGGATCCATATCGAACTCTGGCTCAAAACCTGCAGGATTAAGCTTGTCTTCCACTGATGAATCAATGGGCGATCGTGGTGTTCCATCTCCTGCCCCATCGTTCAATAGTGTTCGAGATTGTGCTACAGGTATGCGAATGCCCTGAATCGAACAGCTAATTACTTTGGTGAACTCACAAGTGTTTCATATGTAATTGAAGAGGAGTCTTGGAGGAGCTTTCTTTCTTTTCTTTCAAGCAGAAGTAGTGATTGCTTCAGAGCTAGTGACACTCATTAAAACTAGTTTCTCACCAGTACTAAACTTTTTTGTCCCTTAATTCATTGGGTTGTAGAGAGATTGAGATTAGGATTGCATGCGATTTGCATAGTTTTATAACTTTTTAATTTGAACGGTAACGTTTCTGCACTACCAAAACTCTCTCACCCAAAACTAGGAATTGAAATACTGTATTAGCACTCATTGCGTCGGAATCCCACTATAGCCCTTTGAATTTAATATCGTTTGCCTTTTCTTCTTGTTCTTGAACGGTTTTTTTGAAACATTCCCAAAAGGTTAGGGCAATCCTACCTGGAACTTATTCTCAGTTTCGGTATAGCCCAGTAGTTCCGGTGTCAGCATCATTCATTAATGTGTAGTAGAGAATAGAGTAAGTCCTGACTCCTCTTTGGTTTTTCCATACAACATCTTTTGTTTATTTCATTACATATTATTTGACTTCAACAGATTGGGAACATTTTTCGATATTTCTCAATGGTATGACATTTCGATAGCTAGATTTATGGGCTCTGGAAAGGGGGAGGGTGTAATTTTGTTCTGTCATATTCATAGAGCATATTAATGTTTTTTTAAAGAAATCGCTCGGATTCCCCCGCACCAACAACGAAAACATAGTGCGAATGATGTTGAGACTGAGCCACCACCAGTTCCACCTCCACCCATTCATCCACGATCAACGGTCCGAAGGGACGCACCACCTCCGCCTCCACCTCCTCAACGTGCCAAGGTATCAGGTTTTATTAAATTTCTTAATAACTAAATGTGCGTTGAGCTCTTATGCGGAAAACCAGTGCGTTGATTCCCTATTTCGCGCAACCATCGATTTAATTTCGTGTCACCGTTGAAGCAGAGTTTGCAGGCCTCTAAATTGAAATTCATCGTTTTATGCGTCATTGAACTCTTATTAGGGAAATTGCTCATTTCGTTCCTCAATATCTTTCATTTTGACAGTAGTTACGATGATGAGTGCGTCTGCAACGGATTGATAGGTTGCGAGCAGTTAGTTTTTTTCTGCTGCTCTGCTAATGTTTCTAGTCGCAACCAATGTCAGGAATGGTGCTGGGAAAACATTTTACTTGCTAAATTCATTTGTCATTCATTGTAGTGGTTGAGTCAGAAGCTAATTGAAATATATCAATTTTCTTGCAACTATGGTTTTGTACAAAATTTCGTTTTTGCGTCCGTGAGCATGCTTTATCCCTTCGAGTTGGAAAGTTTGATCTGAAATTCGAAGCGGGCAGTTTTCTCGTGAAATGTTTGCCTGGGTTCAGGGCATACAGAAAATGCCCCGGCTTTTGTTGGCTCCCATTTTATAGTGTCCACACCAACATAGACCAGCAGCATTTACATTTCATAATACATCACTTTTTTGGTGGGAAGAAATCGAAAAGATCTAGCCAATTTTAATTGTGCCAAGGATTCAATTGCTGCAGAGTTTAGAACATCAGATTGTTTTGGCCGCTTCATTATTTACAGAATTGTTTCAATACTTATTTGCTGCATGTGCGTTAGAAGAAAAATAATTTTGACATTTTCTCTGATTTGACATCTCTCTCGAGTTAATAGCTCTCTAGACACTATCAGGCAGGACGATTTTATATTGTATTGCATTCATCGCAGATTTTTACCGTTGTGAAGAATTTGAGGTGCACATTCAATCAAGCTAGCCCGCATGCAGAATAGGTGAAGTTGCTTTGTGCAAGCGCTTTTGATTTGCCTTCCCTGTCCTCTTTTGCAGTATGGTTTAGGAGAACGCAGACGCGTAGATTTGTAAAAAAATTCACAGGCATTTGCTGCATTATATCTGAACACATAGGTGTTCTCTAATTGAATTTTGGGCATTGAAGTTGGGAGGAATCCTCACAACTTCCAGGCTCAAAATTCTAGTGTTGAACATGAACAAGTTGGGAGGAGATTTTGTTCTGAAAGTTAACTATGAAGTTAATGAGATAAGTATTGAATTCACAAAATAAGTTCCTAGTTTATGTTCGAGGAGGGAGGGAGAATCTACGAATAGTGGTCTTCTTAACTACAAATGAAAGGCGGTGAAACAGTTCTTACGCTACCATGAAACAGTGTCATCGCTCAATAGTTTCTCGTATTTTCTTTTCTTGAAAATGTTTGCACAAAAAATCTTAAGTGGATTGAGAATGTGTTTCCATGTTTTTCTCAACTTTTTTGTGCTCCTTAATTCCCAGTCGAGTTTCCAGCTGTTTTTTACCCCAGTCGTTCGATTACTCTTGTGCCTTCTCCATCAAGTCCAGCTGTCACCATTCGTTCTTCTCCCTCGTCTTTTTGAAATTTCGAATCACATGGTTGACCTTGATCGCAGAGGGCTTAGAACGGTAAAACAATTCTTGTGAATGTAGGATACAGCAGTTTTTTCGAACGACCTTGCTCTACATTTGGAACTATTGTGGAGAGGTCATCGTTATTGTATGTTACATTATAATCAAATGTTTTGTGGGTAAAAACCAATCTTCAGAAGAAATGTTCACCCGCGAACGTCAACCTGTAGAACTTATTTGTCCAGCGAAGGTTCGGGGACCATCTACAAAGAGTGGAGTGATAGTATAACGTAGGCTCGCGCATTCAACGATTTTACAGTGTAAGAAATAGCCTTTTTTGCTATGACGTTCTTAATTTGTAGAAAACTGACGGTGTGCGACGTATTTATCCATCGTACTGTCATGCTCGAAATCAATAAAATGAAAATGCCCAGGTTCCAAATGAGCCTTCCATATAACAACTTGACCCTCCATTTTGAACTTTTGAACTTTTATACATTACACCTTATCCTTAAATGAAAACTAAATGCAACTTAATTCAACTTCTGACCATCGTGACAGCGACTCTCTGATCTTCATTTCATGGGTTTGATAGCATGATAATGAGTTTTTGCCTCTTGTAATTTTTTTCTCAATTAATCTAGTTTTCAGAACCGTCTTAACTCGAGTATGTAGTTACATTCGATGAAATTTGTCAGTTTGTAGATTTATTTCCCCAAGATCGGTGTTGTCAAGACATCATATTGCATTATGTCATGAAAGGCCACATGCTGCTTCGGGAGTTATCGCAGAATTACTGGAACAACACTGGGTTCCCAGTCGTATTCGCTATATTCCCCAGGCTCAGCACCCTTCGATTACCGCTTGTTCTACCTGTAGAGAATTTTTTGAACTTTGAAAAAAACAATTCAAAACCAAACAACAACTCAATTTTTCCATCAAATAATGTGACACTTTCCATAAGTGGCATATTCGAACTCCTGCTCAGTTGGCAAAGTCATATTAGTAGTATTGGCATTTATGGTGCTGCAAAAAAGAAAAATTTGTAGTAATGTATTCTATATTTGCGTCATTCCTATTCGGGAACTCCTTAGTTAGGAAGCTACGAAAGTAAACTTTTGCTCCAGATGAGATAGGGTACATATAATGCCGCAAAGGTCTGTTTAACGGGTCACTTACGCAAAAGCTTACACAAAAGATATAAAGTTCAGCTCCTCTTTCCCCTTTCCTCCTCTTCCGAACATTTAGGACGAACTATAAAACTTGACATACTTCGGTGAATCAAGCTGCTCGATGTGCACAAAACCACATTGAAATGCGCAAGTGAATGTTGTTGTGTGCAGGAATTAAATGTCATTCCATTAAGCATGTGAAAGTGAAATTCAATGATTTGATGCCACACATCGGCTTTCAAAAGAAGCAGGTTGCCTGGTTGTTAGTCAGATGGTTGCACGGTTGCCAGTCCTGTCATAAAGGATGAATGTGTTGGCTCGGCTCGACTGAAGTGAAGTTAGAGCGCAGAATTGGAGCAGTGCTCCATTGAAGATTTCGTGAAACCAGATTATTTATTGGAATTGTGTTCCATTCCTCGGTCCTGTCCTAGATTGCTGCCAAAAATCGAATCATGTGGAGTAGAATAGGGTTATTGAGTGCAGTGAGCTTCTGAGGCAAAAACACTTTCTCCTTTCAGGGAATATTTTGCTGCTATAAAGGGAAACACGTAGCGTTTGCATTTCGACTGTAGCTGTACCAGTGAGTGTTCTTGATTAGAGCTTTGACATCATGAAAGCAGTTACATCATGAAGCGCTGTTCTATGCTGATTGTTTTTGAGCAAAATCTATTTTCCTTCCAATTAAAAAGAAAGTTTGGCCCAGAAAACCATTACTTCTGTCTTTCCCCAAAGTATTTCTGCGATCACGTAGAATCATTTATTCATCTATGTACCAGGCTTTGGAAGTGTGATAGAAGCCTAGAAATAATGTAACTTGATAGAACTGAGAAGTGACCTGGCCGAGTTTTCGGTGTGATCAAGTGACCAAGGCTTCCATGTCTCTATTTTGGTCCCGATTTGTGTAGTCTCGAAAACTGCGCCTTTTTTTCTATAAAAGGCGATAGTCCACACCTACATAGCAAACATTTCAGTTTGAGAGGTGCTCAAGTGGAGCAGATTCAAAGAGATGCTTTGTGTTCAGAAGTGGTTGTCTGCGAATTTTTTCACCTCAACTTTCCAATGACTTTGAGATTTGATGTTTTCCAAGAGTACTGAAATACTTCAACACCTGCGTTTCATAAACCAATGTAAAGCGCACGATGCAGAGAAGCTCAATGCCGCCCACCCATCCGAACAGCAGCCCTTAGTGCTTTCTTGAATGAATTATTCATTTCAGGCTGCTGCTGGAGAAGTTTCCCAGACTCCAAACACTATCCACAAAGTTCCACCAAAGGTTCCTCCAAAGCCTGCGGTATGTCTTTTATCAGCCATTCAGCCTTAATCATAGAAGTTGAAAGGACAGCTGAAAAACTTTGGCGGTTTTAGATTCCGCAAGACAATGGATCTAATAATTTTTTTTCTTTCGTATCATGAGAATATTTCCCAAGTCGTAGATAATTTATGCTTTATTGGCTGTCGTGAATTTAGTTAAAACCAATGAATCAAGATGGTTTAATTCTCACGAGATGTAATGTGGTGCATCACGATTCAAGCATCTTGTCGGTGCTGCTCTGTAGCTCGTTTTCTTTACGACGTTTCACCTCCTTATAGCCCTTTGCAAGCTATTTTCTGGCAGATATCGCGCCAAATAGGGTCGTCGTAGCCAGACCGGTCATGAGCGACGCGAGGCTCCGCCCTTCTTGTCGTAGTGGAGGTTCCCTTCTCCGTCGTGTCCTTCTCCGTTCACACCTCTATTATCCAACGCGATAGGGCGAAGCAACTTATCATTACTTGCCCCCTATATCTATTATAGTGTTGGCATTCGACTGGACATCGCCTTCAGTGCTATCCATATAGACGGCTTTGGATGCTGAATGTGTTTCGTGCCGATGTTCCTAATGTGTTTCGGAAAGTGTATATAGTTCATGCGTTTGCTTGCATTTTCATAGCAAATGTTCTCAGATAATTGGTCGCATTGATCAATCCGTCATTCGGCATTTGGCCCACATCTGCCTTATTCTGCAGCTGTTCGCTCACGAACTTGAGTCGTTTTCATAGCAAAGCTGCGACTGACTATTCATGTACGACTGGGATTGGCAGCCGAAACGATTTAGTGTTCTCTCGCCGTGGGGCGCTTATATCAGCCATATCGGCAACGAGCTTTTGGTAGGATCACTTACTGGGTTTTTCGATTCGTTGTTCATATCATATGCTTGAGTGGAAGACCTTTATTTTGGTTCTAATAATCTTTTCTAATCGAATGAGGTTGATGTAGTACCTAATGCTAGTATTACTATGTGACAGGTTTTCAGTACTTAAAATGACATAGATTTAGGTTTAGTTTAGATGCCAAAGCTCCTCTCATATTATCGCAGTTTTAGCACTTGAAAGCGTCGTCGACATGCGCTTCTCCGCCGCCATTTGTCTCCGTTACGTCTTCGGACACGAATTCAATCGGACACTCTTTGTCCAATGGTAGCGTGGCCAGCAACGTTTCATCGGAAGTAGAGAATCGGTCATATTCTGATGTAAGCAGGCTATATTTTTTAATTGAGGGGTTTTAAGGTAGGACGTGACTTACTAGTCGAAGGGTTTTATGGTAGGTAGTGACTTACTAGTTAAAGGATTTGATGGTAGAAAGTGACTTATTTAGAACGTGATTGAATTCTTCTCTGAAGGGGTTTCATAATTCTCGGAAAACGTTTTTATTCATCAGTCATAACGTTCAAGCTACCCCTTCAAACATCTTTTCATTACGTTCTCTATGGCTCATGGAATGTTAGCGAAATTACATTTCAGAAAGAAAATGCCGCCGCCGTCGCCGCAATCATCGAAGCGGATAAACCCAAAGCTATCGTTGAGCAAGAACCCGTTCGAGTTCGGTCCCAACCGAAAGAGAAAATGACAGACACACAGGTGTTTTTTGAGCATTTTATGATCTCATTAATGAGTTCATTTTTCTCCTTCAAACAATTTCTTAGTGGAGTTCCCATATGTAATGGTGGAACTTATAGATTTACCAGTTCAGGTGCTTGAAGAACTGCGACAAATCGTCAACCAAGGAGATCCCCTTCAAAAATATGAGATAAAACGTCAGATTGGTCTGGGGTACGTTCTATATGCTCACCTTTTTAGTATTTTAATATTTGCGAAGAAAATTTCTGTCTGACTCATTCCTATGACGATGCTTCGTAATATACGTGTTCATTCTCTGAATCAAACGTATTTGGAGACTTAGTGAATCACATAATGATTGGCGACTTTGGTGTTTTGCGTCACCCGAGTGGTCTCTTTTTATGGTGCTCATGGGGCGAGGATCTGGTTTGCCGGTAATGGCTCCATTTTTTGCTTCCCTACAAGCCTCGTTACCTTGCTTCTTTTTCTGTTCTGCTTGCTTTCGTGCATCGCACGACATTAGTTTTCACTCGTAAAAATGCTTTGAGTAAGCGGAATGTCGTATTTCCTGTGCTTCCGTTTCATAATTGCTTACTCCTTATCTGTGAAATTCGAGAGCTGATCGGTTTGGTGCCGTCGTAACAGGCCGTCTTAGCCGTTCAGCTGTCGATCATAGTTATTTCGCATGATGCTGTACGATCACTTGGCTAATTGACGTGGCTAGTTGGATACACCGCGCGTTATCTGCCATCATCACCATTTCATCACATCTGCAACCTCTCTATTGACAGAACTTTGCTCTGCTGATTGAACGGAGTAATTAAGGGTTTAAGGTGTGACGGGAAGACTGGCAAAAAGCAATGACCTTTTTAATTGCGGAGTTTCGAACTTGATCTTATTTCATGGAGTAAAAGTGTTTGAAAAGTCTTCTGTTATTCTTGTTTCGTTGTAAAATTAGACCACGCTTCACTGTGATGGATTGCCCTGGTGTTAGATGTAACCGTATTGACACTTATTGAAATTAACGGCATGGAAGTAGAGTTGTAGAAGAATGGATATAGGGAGAGGCAAAAGGAACTTCAACGAGCGAAACAGAATTTGTTCCGCGGAATTTGTCTTCAGAAGGAATCATTTCAAACTCACTTTCAGAAGAGAATCCCTCCAATAATGGGTGAAAGTGGACTTGCTCCGGCTTTTTGGAAACACGGTGATCGTTTCTTTTGATGACGTCGTTATGTTTGGGGGAATGTTATTAATCGCCTTCTGAAAAATAACCTTTCCGAGGAAAATGACTAATTATTAGCGAGACAGTTTCGTAACATTTGCGATTTTTTCGAGAACTATCGAGACGAATTTGTTGTTTAAGCTCAACCCGTTGCTTTTCATATCGCATACATTACATCTAGCATTGAGGCCGTTGATATATACAGCAACCAGCTTCGTAAGGTCATTCGCTCGGGTTTCTCTCGCATCACTATGAGCGCTTTATGAATTGACAAGTTTGAAAAGAGAGATGTCATCATAACAAGCTCTACACATCACTTTGAACATATTTGGAAAAACAAATGGTTCCGGGTCTATGTGTTTAATTCTGTAAGCTTTGTTCGGATTGCATAATACTCGTTGTTTGCTTGACATTGCGTTCGATGTCTTAATGTCCGTTGTGAAAGAGAATCCAATCGTTGTTTCGCAGTTCAAACCCTTAAAAACCTAAAAACTTCTGTTGAATATCAATGATATCTGGCTCTGAGAATACCACAATCAGATCAATGTCAATTCCGCGAAATTTCGCTTTCTAAAACCCGTTTCTTCCTAGCATTCGCTGTAGAAGGCATAATTCGCCGATCTGCGTATGTATGTTGGGATTTTATTGCTTGATGTTTACGCTTAAGGAAATCCTTCCATAGGGAACACTCTAGCATAGGGAGCATTTCTAAGTTAATACTTGCAAAGCTGACTGAGATGGGGAGAAAAGCAGAAGTCAAGTTTCAGAACCAGTTTTTAAAGGCATATATTATTCTAGCTCTGCATGACGTTTTGATGCGCCGCATAGTGAGGGATCCTTAGAACCTGGTTGAATTAGGAAACGCTTCTCAAAGGAAATTTCGAGGTGCAAACTGCGCTTTCTAATTGAGGGTTTCAAAAAGTTCCCTTGAACGAGGGTCATATCATTATTAGCCCTCGAATGCAGGTTCAATGTACATAGTTCCACCAATCTTTCTTTTCAATTCATGCATCGCTACTCTATTGTGCGACTCGATCATCGAAAAAATGACCTTTTTGTCAAAATTACAATAGTAGTGAGCGCTTCATAAATAATATCCACAGAGTTGTGAAGTTCTTATGTCGTTTCAGGGCATCCGGAACGGTTTACGTAGCGAATCGGAATGATACTAACGAAGTTGTTGCTGTCAAACGAATGGCATTCAAGACACAGCCAAAGAAAGAAATGTTACTAACAGAGATCAAAGTGATGAAACAGTTCCGACACCCTGTAAGTTGTTAAAGGGACCGTAGTAATATTTTTGATAATACTATCCAGCAAGATTATTCGAACAATTTTTTGCAGAACGTAGTCAATTACATTGAATCTTATCTGGTGGATGCTGATGATTTGTGGGTGGTTATGGATTATTTGGAAGGCGGTAACCTAACCGATGTCGTTGTGAAGACGGAACTGGATGAGGGGCAGATTGCAGCCGTTCTTAAGGAATGTGTCAAAGCGCTTCATTTCCTGCATAGGTAAGCTGTCTCTTTTGGTAGGACTACTATGAAAGTCAGATTTCTTCATTTCAAGAACAGTTTTGTAAGGAATTGAACTACGGGCACCTCATAATGTCCTAATATCACTGATTTATAACTGAAACCATTTCCTTCATCTCATACATAAATTACTTTGAAAACACACCTGTTTCACGAGCCAACCATGCATTACCCAAACGGCGAGCGAGAAAAATAACCTTGAAGGTGATCAGTAACTACATCAGCTTTCCACCTTGTTACCTGCGAATCTGAGTGATGCTTTGATTTGGAGTGGGGATTCAGCTGGCACCTTTTTTCTTCCCAGGCATTTTTTTTTCAATTTGCATCAGCTCTGCAGTGCGTGCAGCCATTGATTTACAGAGCAGAGTCGTGTTCGGTTCCTCTCAAAAGAGTGCACGAATCGTTCAGCGCGTCCTAGCACCGCTCGTTTGGGATTTCGACGTCAGCGAGGGATTTTCATTAGGGCATTTCAGAAACGAGACTAAGGGTGGTTTAGATTCTGATCCAATTCCAAAAGTTGTAGTTCACTCCAATCGTAAAATACTCATGATCCCCTTTTAAAAGAATTCTGTGAAATTTTTCTTTTGATGTGTACAAATCTCGTAGAATTTACGTGACTGAATAAAATCGTTTCATTAATAAATCACTATTGCAGCCATTCTATCGTACATCGTGATATAAAAAGCGACAATGTATTGCTTGGAATGGATGGTCAGGTGAAACTTACTGACATGGGTTTTTGTGCCCAAATTCAGCCGGGATCAAAAAGGTGATTTATCATCATTCATCTCGTAATATTTCGCAAAGTAAGGAACAAATACTGGCGCAGTTACCCAACAAATATCCTTAGTATATGCTAGAGATTTTAGTAGGAGTTCTAGCATTATTTGAAGTAAAGTTGTGTTTGTATAGTCTATCCAGTGAACTATATATCGTGATTGAACGAACAGTACTGTCTGAAAAGAAAACTCGGTTTCGGTCAACCAAAAGGGCCCTTTGTTACGGTGTTGACCTGACCGTGGATGAATTTGCTTTTTGCATCTCAATACATTGCACGAACTCTGATTTGGTCTGAATCATAGAGAGCTTGCTGTCCATTTTGTTTCTCGATTGTCCCCGATCAGTATCCCATTTTGGAAGTTTATGTAGGCAAGATTCAAAGATTTTGTTAGGTGTTCCTTCAATAGTATCTCTAGGCTCGTTTAAGCTATTCCTCATTGACAGCCGCCCATACTCTTTTCCCATCCATGCACCTTTGGTACGTAAGATTTTATGCACTGATGAATTGACAACCTCGCTTGATGTGAAATAGGCACTTGTAAAGTGAGGAGATTATTGCAAATCGAAGGAATGCCACAACTCGTTCTTGTCCCGTCAAGGATTGTAGTTTTCAGAGACACCGTTGTCGGAACCCCGTATTGGATGTCTCCTGAGATTCTCAATAAAAAGCGGTACAATTATAAAGTGGACATATGGTCGCTTGGTATCATGGCGCTGGAAATGATTGATGGAGAGCCTCCGTATCTTCATGAAACACCATTGAAGGTTACTCATTCGCATCCATCTTAGAACAGCATTGGTGGATGATATACTTTTAAGGCTTCCCTATTTCTAGGCAATCTACCTGATTGCGCAGAATGGAAAACCAGAAATTAAAAGACGAGATCAGCTTTCTCCTGATTTCTTAGACTTCCTTGATCGCTGCCTCGTAGTCGAACCTGAAGACAGGTAACCGCTCTCTACTATTCTCATTTTTTCCCCAACTCATTCCCACTCTATATATAGAGCTGATACGGAAGAACTTCTGCGGCATCCGTTCCTTGCAAGGGCGAAACCGCTCAGCAGTCTAATTCCCTACATAAAGGCAGTGAAGGAACTTAAAGAAAAAGAAAAACTCTGCCACAAATAGAGCGGGTCGGATGTGCTTTCTTTCATCACACACATTTCTGTCCACCTGCGTGAGTTTTCATATCTGTTTCATATATTTGGTCTTCGTATTGCATTCCACTACTTACATACTTGTATTATTGATGAATTTTAATGTACTTTGACAACTTTCTACGACACTTGTACTATTGATGAATGTTTGTTGCTGACAGCGTTCGTATGCTGCACATATTCAGTAACAGGTTACGTATTTTTGCTTGAATGCTTCATGTTCATTGAAGCGGGCATTTAAAGCCGTCTGGCACGTATTCCTGCCAGAGTAGCTTCTCCGTACATCTTTCTGTTGCGATTTTTTTTCTTGCAGCAAAGCTTCCGGTCTATTCATTATGCTTCCTTTCGCTTTTTTTGAAACGGTTCAAAGAGTCCATTGTTAGAGAGGACAAGAATTGCATTTTACATTGTTTTTCTGTCGAACCAGAGATTTATGACCTTGTGTGTAGTTATACATCTAGTTACCCTATTACTTGCCGTTGTATGTGGTTGTACATCGGTTCTGTGCGGTCGCGATTATTACGTATTTTGTCTTGTTCCTTAATGCTCATCGTAAAGCATTTCCACAGTGTAGAAATGTTATTTATTTGGTTTTGATATAAATTTTTCCCTGTGACAGGATCACGTTCCACTTCACTTTTTTTCCATCTGCTTCACCACCAGAAGTTGAGGCAGTAAATGTAGTTACAAGTCTAGGTAAAGAAGAAAACTGGTTCTTTTCTAAAGAGTTCGGAGAAAGCGAATGAGGCAATTTTGTATGTGTTATAGCTAATTCTCTATGGCTGCCTTAACGAGGCCTAACGAAACAAGCTCACTGAAAACTTTCAGATGTAAGGCGTTTCCAGTTCTTAGCCAGGGGAAACCTCTTTAGAGTCATTTCCAAGTTCAAACCTTTGATGTATCCCGAAACTACCTGCAGTAAACCTCCCTTATCGCTAAGGTAAGATCCGGTTGGAGGGTAGTACTAATGGTCTAGGATGTCATTGAGATGTTCGGGGCCGGTTCGGGACCACCAGGCCTTGTGCCCCAAGGTGCGGAGTCATGAATACAGTTTTTCGATGATACTTCAAAACATGCGCGTATTGGTCGTGGGCTTTCTAGCAACTGTTGGGGGCATCCAAATGGATATGGTTTATGGCGTCTTCACCCATGCTATTACGGTTCATGGTCGTTGATCATATGACAACTCCGCGATCTCGCTTGAGCGCCACACCCACTATCGATGCTCTCATTGAGGTCGTACTTACCTTCACAGACTAACCTCTTGTTATGATGAATCTGGTCAGGATCGTGGCGTGAACTCTGGTAAGCTACTAGTATAGTTTTGGTGGCCGTAAGTGCTGGTGTATGTGTCTGTATATTTGAGGTTAGAACTGTGGAGGTCGTATAGCGCGCCATGACGAATTCCGGTTACGAATCGATTTCAATCTGTTGATAGTCGATGTGATCGCGATTTGTAATGAAATTAGTGTTAGGGCGTGGAAGGAGCGTTTATGTACTGCTTTACTAGAAAAAAAAAACTGTTTTTATCCCCTTTTAGGCACCCCTCGGAGGCAAAGCGTGCTGAGGTTAAGCCCATTGGCCTTCCTGTTCCAGAGCAAACTAACAAAGCTAATACATACATACATAAGGAGACAAATTCTTTCGAACTCGTGATTGCTTACATAGAAGCAGCTACAGGAGCTATGATACTCTGGAAAAACCGGTTGAAATAGCCATTGACAATGAGACTTATAACGCCAAACCTGTTTGCGGGCATTGATCTCGGACTTGTTTACGGATTTACGAAATGGTTCGTTGAATGAATTTTCCCTGAGAGGCCACTAAGGGAATTGTGTAACTTGCTTATAAATGCCCCTAGCCATCCTTTATCAGTTGTTATCTCAATTTATTTCCAATTAACTGCAATCCTATCACACCCCGCCTCCACTCACCGACTGCACATGTAAGATAAAGGACTTGAATCGCTCCATAGACCCTAATTAGTCATCTCCAGTTGTTGACTCTTTTATCCACTTTTAGACATCCACTCTTGGCTGTCGATATTCCACTCTTGCACCTATACTCCTAGGAATTTGAACGCTCTAGGTTCAGGTTATAGATTAAATACACATATGTACCCCTATACACACATACACACACATACACACCCACACATACCCTCTTAACTTATAATTTCTGTCAGATCCCATCTAGAAATCTTCTTGGCAGTTTCCAGTCGCCGCAGACAGCTTATTTCTAAAACGATAAAGACGATAAGATACTGCGAGTGCCATTTGCTAGTATTTTACGTATTGAGTTAATGGAATTGTGGCTTTGCCGAACCAAATAGGGTTAACAACAAGAACGATGACAACAGCATTTCGAAGAAAGGTGGACTTCATTCAATTATAAAAGTAAAACCTGGAATAATTTAGCTTTACACTCCAATTAGGAGATTTCTGCTGAAGCGCTATCGCCTAGTATACATAAACATATTAGTGTGCTTGGACAATGCGATAAATTGACATGCGATATGGGGTACAAATTGAAAGGCGGAAAAAAGTGCTCATGTAAAACGAAGCCGACGTTGAACTTTAACGGAAGTGATCAACTTGCTCGCAACGGAATCTCAGCTCATTAGAAATATTAGTTGATGGGAGTCTTTTCATTAAAAAACTTATCACTCGCAACACAGTGTGCACCGATTATGCGCCGATGCTTGCCAACTTTGCGCTTTGAGTGTGGGTCTTGTGTTCATTGCGCTTCGAGGGAGGTAGTGTTAATCTAAGACTTCATACTTGACGAGAATTTTGCTCTTGAGTTTCAGTAAGTCTCAGTTACTTTAGTGAGAATCAACCCTTCGAAGGCGCAATTCGTAACGGCATGATGTAAGAATAAAAAAAGAAAGAAGAAAAGAGTAAAGTAGAAACAGATGAAAATCAAGAAGGCTGTCCTGATGCTGAGTAGCGAGTCAAAGGTGAGGGTGGCCCACTGGAACAGCCTTCGACAGTGCTCGAATGATACCGCTGAGCCAGAGATAAATCTAAATTCCCAAGGTACAACCTCTAAAAAAAACAATCTTTCGCTCACATGTTTCGAAGGGAGTTTCCGTGGCCTAAAGCACAGGAAGCAGCATCGAGAACTATTTGGTGGAATGAGCAATGAATCCTCAACAAGCCAAGTGTACATATCTTTGGGAAGATTTGCTGAGCCAGGTAAAGAAGGAAGGCTAGAGGAGTGAACGATTTCGACGAACTCCGAGCCCTTATCGCCCATTTTTTGAAAATCTTCATCGTGAGCTTCATTTGAAATGAATTCAGGATAACTGCTTACCAGCGGATTCGCGCAACCGATTAGGCGCTGTGCACCATATCTATGCTCACTTCCAAGGCGGCCGCTGTGCTGTCGTTCCCTATCTGTACATACAAGAGTCAATTTTTCTCCTTCTCTTCGAATACCGTTATCATGGACCTCCATTCCAGGTTATTCATCCTTTGCCGGACGAATGTTCATTCCTTCAGCGAAAATAGCTCATGGAATCATAATTGCGGCAGTCCCCCAAAAAAAGTCGATTAATCAAAAACGGTTTCTATTCAAAAACAGTGAGCCAAAATTGAGACACATAGGCCAAGGTTCAAGCCACCAATCGATCCACAAAGCTCTGCTGAACAATTTCTATTTCCAGAAGGAAGCGAACACATCGAATCAGGACATATGTAAAAATATGTCCAATATTAGACTTTTATGTTCATCTCACTCCAGTTGAAGCGCGTTGTGAAAGATGTCCATGACGGGAACTTCGAACACGCCACACCTCCAATGATGGTTCTCATTGGAATTCTCGTCTTGTCTCATATAATGTCAGTTCAACGAGATGTTAAAACTGAAAACCAGATGCCTCGATGGATGCATTATCGAATAACGACGTACGAACAGAAAGCTCAAAAATAAAATGTTCCAAGGAGACGACCTTAAACTAAATCTGAAAAAATATCATAACTGAGAATGAATGATCTAATTTTTGGTGTAAAGCAGCAGTGGTGCACTGAAAAAACTTCCTGGAAGACCTGGAAGACCGGGACCACCGGCGTCAACTCTGTAAATCCGTCTTACGGTAGCTCTGAGTCAATGTTTATGCTCACTAGATCCACAGACCACGTACGGATACTTCACTCGATGTTGTGAAGGGTGTGAAACCATCGTAACTTCGAACGAAAGAAGATCACATCCCACTAGTCCTGGACCAGCGTCCGACGTATGTTGGTAGCTGTTCCAAAACGTATGGTACTATGTATAAGCAGAAAAAGCACAACTAAAAGAATTATAATGCAACAAGTTTTATCTTTTTCTTGTAATTAATGAATAAATAAATAAATAAATAAATAATTCGCACTCGATAAGTAGCAACGGTCAAACTGGAAAAGATGAGTGCTAAGAAATATCTATCTGAGAATCGAATGTTGTATTTATCCAAAAAAAGTAGGCAATATCGGCCGTAGGCAACAAAAATTATAAATGGCAAGCATCCACTCGAAAATGAAATGAATTTTTTTTGAAGTTTTCTTCATTTGCGCTGAGTACTTGTATTGTATTCGGCGAAAATGAGGAAGACGCCAAAAAGTTTTTATTTCATGTGCGAGTAGGTGCCTGAACACAACCACCAAGAAACTCGTTCTGATGATTTGAGGGAAAAGGCCGAGAACGCTAACAGAATTGTACAACCGATAATAAAGTCTTAAAACGACTCGTGATGGAAAAACTCACAAAAGCTCAGAGATACCGTATCGAAAATGTTCCGCTAAGACTGCAGTGAAAAGCTGTCATTGTTATTCAGACTCAACGCATTTGCTACCCAAATCGTATTTGCTAACTATTGGCATTGAGAAGATCATATCGGACCAATCGCCCTAGCTAATCGCCAGTTTTTCTGATTGACATTCTGGCTGAATAGAAAGAGCGGACAATTTCTGATAAAAGCACTTCGAAAACGACCATCCTAACATCAGATGAAGAAAAACAACTACAGCGCTTAGGCAATGCAGTTTATCCATCTGCACATGTCCTGTTAGAAACTTAATTGAATCTTTCTCGAACATACTAATTAAATATGGTTAGTACGGATGAGCCAACCTGTATCTACGTAGCTGATAGAAAAGTTAGGGATAATAACGCCGGCACCTTTGCAGAAATGCAGCTGTCATCAGCCTTTGTGCTAAACAAATAACAAAAAATTAGAAAAAAAACCAGATTTTCCTTCAGAAAATGGCAACAGAGAATCACAGTGACTGACTGGCTTACTTTCTTGAGGGCAGAGTTCACCGTACTTTTTGAGTACCCGGATTTTGACGGATAATGAAAGATACAGTCTAGAATAGGACAAAAATAACGAAAAAAGCGCAAAAAACGACATGAAAAAGAAATACAACGGTCCAAGAAGGTAGCACAATGGGGGGATGGGTTGGACGAGTTTCAGGCACAAAAAACGGTGCAAAAGCAGATTAGAGGGATTTTAACGTCCCGTGAACGTGTGCCACAGTAACTCCCTAGAACCTCCACCGCCCAACCCCTCACCTCCACGGGTAGGCTTCACCCGGGCTACCTTTGCTCTGCGTCATATATGTGACGAGTGTTATAAGGCGCCTCAGCGTGTGTTCGGGTTACTCTGTCATACATTCATAGGACGATTAAATCCATCTCGTTGAAAGCAGAGGTTGGGCCAGCTGAAAATCTGCTCTGCATCTTCAACACCAAGGAGCAGGGTCCATAGAGACCGCGCTAGAGCGCAGAGATGTTTGATGCCCATCGAAATACTGCATGGGTCCTGGGGCGATCTATTGCAATCTGCCCGCCTCGCCTCGACACTCTGACAAACCATTTGTCTAGAGGCGGGCAACCCGGGCGATCCGGTAACGGGGCTCTCACTAAGCCTTAGCTGTTGAGTTTTTGGACCGAACAGCTTCCTTCCTCTCACCCTTGAGGGCCACCGGGTATTCCTAGAGGGAGAATTCAGAAACCATTTTTATCGTGAACTGAGCCTTTAAGACATCGAGGACGTACGTAAATTTTGCCGTTCATTGAGCCCGATGTTGCATTCATTTCTTGCCATTCAGAATTATGGTGTCATTTAAATGGTTTTTGACTGCAAAGTAATTTGTGGGAGCCAGGATCAACCGGAACATGGAATTGCTAATCCTTCCAACAAAGCAAAACCTTGCACCTGTAGTAAAGGTTATAAAAAACGTTCAAAAATTTAAAGTCGGGTGGGCCCCGATCCTGGTTCTGGCATTGTTCCCATTGGGGGTAGCGCTTTCACGCCCCTATTCTACACCCTATCGCCCTTCCCCACGTTTCCTGACGTCACTTTGAACAAGTGGTGAATGTGACAAGTTACTGTGAGCAAGTGCTTCAAGTATGTTTTGCCACTCCTCAATGAGGTGTGACTGCGAAGTTTCTACCTTCAGGGCGTTCTAGCTTAAAACAATTTAGGGATTCGGTAAACCACTATTATCAGAAATTAGCATTTCCGTTGTTTTCGTTCTGAATAAAATCGCGGATTTCATCGGAACATAAGCTAACGCACTTTACAAGTAATCCAGCATTCCTGCTTACCATGCTGGAATTGCCTGCATTGAGAGTGTACTTGTACTCTTTACAGGTAACTTATTTTGGTGTTGGAATTCAGGTGACATCAAATAAAATACAATAAAAGCAGTATTGTGCAAGTTTTGCATAAGAATGAGTGCCGCTGATACCATCCCCTTCTTTGAGCGTCAGTTTTCACTGAGGGTTCCTAGTAGGTTGATGACGAGGCTTCGCGGCGTGCCCTTAGGAAGCGGATGGAAGGATAAATCGGGCACGAAAATCCTCGGAGATGCAGGTGTATTCATGGAATGGTCTCCCTGTTTTGCTTTGCCAAAAAATCGAAAATCATGTGAGCTGGACATGTTATGCGATATTGTGGTGACCTTTGGATCGAGACGGTTACTAACTGTATCCCCGGAGAAGTTAAACGAACATTGAGACGACCATCAGCGTATGGTCAGGCTCCTTCACAAAAGCTCTGACCGAAGGGAATGCTATACATTGTGTCTCTCGAGCAGGACGATCCAATGGACTACTCTGGCTCGTGACGGAAACGAATGGAGACGTCACCGGAGCCCGTTCGGGGAAATCGATGACCAACGGGTGACAAAATTTTGAGTAACGGTGAATTTTGGGTTGAACACTCCCGTCTCCGGACATGCAATCAGCTTGCTCGAGCTTCTACTTTGATTGAATTCGTAAACGCACTTTATAGGAACATTCCCAACCCACTTTCCTAGATGATGATGGCATACCTTTTGGATAAGACTAGAAACTTTCCCTTTCTGAAGTCGTAATCCATCATGAATCATGGCCTGAATCAAGCGTAGATTCAATTCTGATCGCCGCAAAGGAACAGGATATGATCTTATGGGCAGTTATATTTCCTATACGATGGAGAATCTTCTAAATGACTAGTTTCACTGCCTGACATTGATGACATCGTTTCGTAATGGTCATATTGACTTCCCTCGTCAAGGTTTTTTGATAGCGTGTAAACTAGCTGTTGGCAGAAAAACGGACATGACGACCGAGACCGGCGTTCCTTGCAGTACTACAGTTTTTTGGATGCAACATTGTGCCTTTGCACACCCAACCCCACTCATTGCTTTGGAGGGGCCTAAAACTTCATCTTACAGGATCAGAGGGTTTTTTTTTTCATTATTTCTGCTGAAAGGAAAGGAATGCTTAGTAACTACGGAGTGACTGAACAGGTTTCGTTTCGAGTCATTGAATTACTTAAGCTAACAACTAGCTTAACACCTCAAAATTATTCAATTAATTATTATTATTTATTTTAGACAATGACAATGGAAAGAGTAAAGTGTAGAGGGTAGTTTTGGCAATGATCACCACCGTTCTCATGATGCGCCCTGCATAGGGCTTCTATTTAGAATCATAGTGAGTTTTGAATGCGTAAGACGTAAACAATCATGATTACGGTGGTCTATGTTTAATTCAGCGCTTCTGACATTCCAGACAAGTCTGTCAAGATTTACCGGACCCGGGATGGACGAGAGGTTTGGCTGGCCTAGGCAAGTATCGATCCTGGCTCGATACGTTCCCGGAACAATGTGCCCATGGAGCAAAGGGTCTGGACATAATCGTTGCAGTAGGCAAGACCCAGCTGTACAGTTCGTTTTACCATACAAACAACTTCTGTATGAGATCTTTTTCGGTTGAAGTGAGCATAATTAAGTTCTGCTCCAGATCCATTCCGAACAGCGTGACGAAGTGGCCCTCAAGACATTCTCTATGAATCGAAAAGTCTTGCTAGTTACGAGCTCTGCTGATGTCCATCGCTAATGATTAGTGGGATCAGACAGAAAGAGCGATAAGCATTTGCAAGAGCAGCTCAATAGTCAATTGGCAGGAAATGAAGAAATGATTAGTAGTTACTCATGATAGTGTAGAAAAAGATAGGTTAACAGGAAGCTCACTGCAAGGGACTGTAGTCACCACAAGTACGAAAACCTAGCGAAACAACATTTTATTAACACGAACAATTATATTTTACAACAGACAACATGTTTGAAGAGACCATCCCGGATATCATCACCTGCTTCAAGCTAACAAACTGCGCTTCAGACCACATAAGAATGGAAGGTAAGAGTGGCGCACAATGACTAGCCAAAGTAAAACGCTTAGTCGTCATCTCTCCTTCGCTTTCTGCTTCGACTGTGATCTGAAAGCAGGGTCACCGGTGAAATGTTGTCTATAACATGCACAAATGCCAAAATATGCCCACCTTCCACTTTTACTGAGAAATCAAACTCTTGATCAGCTCCCAAATATGAATCACAAATAAAGTACAGCTTATAATCAAATCTTCCGGAGCTCTGGGCTATAAAGTCGAGTTGCATTTTTGCCTTCTCGTTGATGGTCAACCTAAAGGAAGAATGTGGAACTTCTGAACCTTTCATGAACAGGAATTCTGCTGGACCAACCGTTTGATGGAGTACAAAGCATTCGCAGTTGGATCTCCCACTACAAGCCACCATCCTTCTTCTTTCCGCTTTTGAGGGAAAAGAGGTGCCACAACAGGAGGTGCCAGACCATTTATGTGGTTTTCACGCTCCATGGATACGTTCACCAATAGGGTGTCGCCCCTGCAATATCATTACATTCGGGGTTGTTACGGGGAAAATGGGGAACTTATATCAACAATCATGACATACACTGTGACGGTGTCATTCTCCAGCTGATGTTCAACTTCTATTGATGGGTAATTATTACAGAATTTAGCAACATCGGCAAGTTGTACATCCTCCATACGCAAGATGTCACGACGGTCATCATCATCCAATTCCAGTAATTCAAATACTGACTCTACTTTCTGGAATAAAGTAGGAATATTCAAATGCTGAACTGTGAAAAACATTACTTCAAGAAAAAATTAGTTTAACGAATTAGTAGCGGGGACATTCCAACCTTTTGCTTGGCTCTTTCCAGAAGTCCCGCATTGCAATGTGGTAGCTGTTTCAGGTAGGATTCGTTACTGTACATTGCTTGAGTTAACATTTGTGATAACTCCATTGCATGAATAGCAGGCGAAAGCCAACCGTTACTGTAAGCGTATTCCTTTGAGTAAAATTTCTTCAAACTATAAGTCCTACACAAGGATAGAACGACTAGCTGACCTTGAGAGAACATCAACACAAGCCTGTACAAGGCGAATAGCCTTCAGCACAATCATATCGGTATCTTTGCTGAGCTCGGCCGATAGCTGGATACGTGAAAGATGGGCGTGAATCAGCAAGTTCACCTAAATGCATTGTTTTTAAGACCATTTGACCAAAAAAAGTGCAAACTCGTAAAATCGAACAACAAGAAAAAAAANAAAAAAAAGAAAGGAAAAAATCCAACAAAAAAGATAAATGTGGAGAAGAAGAAGGGAGAAATGCACTGATTCAGATCAAACCACTCCAACACTGAATACTACTTACTTTGACATGCGGATCAGAGAATTTCTGATTCTTCAACTGTCCTGGAAGGCGAGCAGCCAGCTGCTTCATCACTACGTCTTCACGATGTCGCATAGGTATCGAGGCAAATTCACTTGCGTTGGCAATGATTTCAATAAGGGCACGCAACTTCGTTTTGGCTTGTAGCGACATCGAGAACAATTCTGCAAGCCGATGATGAGAACGATGCTTCTGCGGAGTTGAGAATTTTGTAATGAATGAAAACAAACCAATAGTTGTATAAGAAATGTAATAGTATGCAGCTATCATTCCCAAGTTCAGTGGCAGGGTGTCCATATCATCTTTGATTGCAATGCACTGTAACAGATGGTAGTTCACACTGAAAAGGGGGCCCAAGAAGCAGTATTTGATCACCTTGCTATTCTCCAGATCTTTGAGTGTCAGCTCAACAAGTTCCGACAAAGCATCAGACAAATGACGATGCGAAATCTCTTGCAGATTGTAGTAGTTCGGGTTTTGGGTCATACGGCGGTATAAGAACGTCCATGTAAGATACTTGAAACAGCAGTAATAGTTATAACACTAAGAATAAAACACATTTTGCAAACTAATAGCACGCGGAGGGACTCGAACCCCCATTTCCGGATCCGGAGTCCGGCGCCTTCTCCATTAGGCCACGCGTGCTCGTTCGTGATCGATATGATTTGCGAATCAAATTCCTTGGAAACCATAACCCGATGAAAACTAGCCATACCAATCTCCTGTATGGCTCAAATAGTCCCAGGTATGTACACGGAAGACATCTTCTTATGATTTACAACGCCCCATCCCAGCTAATGTATGCAGAACATCTGTCAACTTACGTCAATGGCATCCTGCTTGTTCTCAATAGTTTTCGTGACGATCTCTGCATTGAAATGATCATGTAAGCAATGATCCAAGTGAGATTCGACCGGCAACGGCTCGTAGAGGAACTTCTTGAAGAAATCTTTCTTCGACGATTGACACATTAGAACGCATTTGGCTGTAATTAGTTACCCCGATTTTCAAGGTCAGTCGAGCACATGAAAAAAAACGATTAATTAATAACACAAATAGTCCCGAGATTTCTTTCTCACTTAACGAACAAATTTGCTTTCAGAACTCCAACACCAAGCTAGTCGTAAGCAGCAAGAACGCGTAAGAGAGGAATGCGATCCTTTGATAGCTCCGGAATGCTTCGGTACGTAGATTTAGTTATTGGTCATCGTCCTCACAGAATAAACTTCCAGTTAGAAAGCATTTTGCTAACTAATTCCTAAGAGCACCAGCGAAGAATGTCACGTCAACAAAAGTTCACTTTCTTGGTGGAACTTGAGAAATACCGTCGAGACGAGGGGAATCCTGGAAACGTTCTCTATGGCATTTGATGTTGCCGGAGAGTCTACTATCTCACGGGCAATCATAAAGTCGTGGTTCAATAAGATCAGATGCGCCTTCCTGCACTCTTGCCATAACAAACATCATCCGTATTACGGTGTCCTACCTTTCGCCGACGCACAGGACAATGACAAATGGAAATGAGCATAGCAGCACACCGTGTAATTACGTCTTTCAATAGAACAATACGTAAATGCAAGTGAGTAACCGCTCCCACGCCAGAACACCGTGGGAACTGTTGGAACACCGGCTAGAAGGATCAATTAAAACGCTTCTACTGCGAACTTTTCATGGATACTTAAAACGAATTCCTAACTCTGATTTAGCACATCGGCAACTAACGACGAACGACTCCCCATTTGAGAAAGTAGGTTTGTTGCGTCGCCATTATTTCTTTTCTGCACGTGAAGAGGCTCTCTTTTGGTTCAGGTGGACGGATGCGATCCAATTGACTTGTAAACAGGGTTGAAAACGACTGACGCGCTCGCATGCGTTCAAGGCAAATGGAAGAGGGAACACTCACCTATAAAGAAAAAAAAAGAACAACTATTATGCAGCTAAATGCTTCTGCGTTTTCAGTCAAGCTTTGCATTCCTTGATCTAGTAGGACGTGGGCCTTGTGACGATCCTCAAGAGTGGCACAGGCTCTTCAAAAGCTCTGACCTTTTGTGAAAGAAAATGAAGTGAAGCCTAGAGTGATCGCTGGCCGACCAAAAAAAGCCTCTATTTGGATAATGGCAGTTGATGAGGCCACTGGAGCTAAAAGCGTCATTGCTTTACCCCAACGCTCCCTCTATGCATTCATTTTGCGTGAAAAAGAATAATCCGGTGAAATACGTCTCTTCACAACTATGTCAACAAGGTCAGAACCTCCACTAAATGTCGTACGACCACATATCCAACTACGGAATCGTTTCCGGAGTGATTTTCAAAAGCTGTTCCACAGATTAGACAACTTCTCTACAAAAACAGTATACCATGATGAGCCATGAGCAAACCAGTGACTAACAATTCTCGGAATAAGGTGCCCATCATTAAGTGCTGTACCGCCCCGCCGATGCCTGCACGGAGCTTACGAGTAGTTTTGAAAAAGTCACATTTGAGTGAAGTACATGCTCAAATGAAGTAAGGTTTGAAATGACTTATAAAATCTGAAATCTTACCATCGGGATCCCGTCCTGGCCTGTTTGCTAATCCAACCATATGCAGTACATCTCCAATGGGATAATCTTCGTATACGTGGTACTTTCCGTTATAGAACTGAGTGTCCATGATAACGACAAGATATGCAAACATGCTAACTTGGTAGCACATTGTACGAGGTACAATACACACCTAAACTATGTACTTATAGCAAATGTGGAAAAAAACAGCTTTGGCACCTACTTGAATGGCACCACTGCTGAATAGCTTTTCAACTATTTGGAAATCCTTAGCATGTGTTCCTTCATGCAAGAAGCCAACGCCGCACAAAATTGTTTCCCGAAGGGTTTGATCCTGAGAGAAACAACAGCAGTTATGTCACAATGCAATATCACAATGAAACGCACACACCATCATTTTTCTTACCTGGAACGAATCGAGAAGCTTGCGGAAGGTTTCGTCATTTTCATTGATATGTAGGAACCGTTGAGGAGATCCATCAGCGTGAGCCATTGTTAATAGGTCGATCGCTGTAGATCGGGATTGACGTCGTCCAGGAACAAACACCTGTAATGCAGATTTTAAAAGAAACTGGTGATATTTTGTCCTTCCTATGACATACAAGAGCTGGTTTTGGATTGAGCTTGCCCGCGTGACGACTGATTGCTTGATATACGGGTCGAACCATAGCTGCTAGACGCGAGGCAGTATGAGAGAGATTGAAACCCTTAAACGAGGTGCATTCAAAAAAGAAATTATTAACTAGTAAAAAAGTGAAAAAGTAAGGAAAAAACCTCGATAAGAAGCAAGAAACAGATTCGTCTTGCTCCAAACTTCAACAAATTTCTATAAAAATACCTGAATATAAAGCTCCAAAGGAACTGGTCGAGTATTTGGAAGAAAGTTGAAAGTCGCAGCAGCTGAGCATCCAAGCCAAGCTCCGACATCGCGTGCATTGGTTAGAGATGACGACAGACCAACAATACGAACAGTCGTGTCTAGCTGTGCTGACATGTACCGCATTCGAGAACAGATAACTTCCAAGATCGGCTGGAAATGCTCTGTTCGATAGCAACCATAACGAAAAGGCCTAAGGGGTAAAAGGAAAATTTGGAGATCCGGTAACTTACCCCAATGGTTCCACCAATCATATGTAGGTCATCGACAACAAACAATTTCACGGCTTGCACATTTTTTCTTTGCTTCCAACGACGAGAAACATTATCCCATCTGAACAGACACAGTACTCAAGTCTTTAGGAGAAAAGCCCGCTTCACGATACGTACCTCTCTGGGGTAGCTATGATCAGCTTGCCACGTTGAAGCAATTTCAGATCAGTTGACGGCTCACCGGTAAGAAGTACCACCGTACGATCAAGAGCCAAGCCAATACGATCTTGCCAGTCATTGAAAATCTGCAACAAAAACTTGCCTACTTGTGGGTTAGATAGGACATATGTAGAGTATGATGATATACAATTTCATAATTCGACTGGTGTGAATTAATAGGTCGTTACATTATCACGGTTCCGCTGAGAAAAAGAAGCTTCAGCTACTACCTTCAGCTGTAAGGAGCGCAATTATATCTCGTTTGAGGCCATGAGGAATCTCTCAGAGAAAGACAGCAATGCTTTCCGAATTAGGAAAGCCTAAGAAGAGCATACGCAAATCTTCCAGCCATCTGCAATACTCACATTGACATGCCAGGATGAATATTTACAGTTCCCGAAGGGCAACGTAAATGCCATTCGAGGCTTCTCTGACCTCTTCCTGTCCACCCAGAATGACCTACTATCTAAGGGAGCATAAAATGATCGTTCCCCGTTCCATTTATTCTTTTTTTCTAAGACCAGTACATACATTTGTTCAATTAGAAAAGGAGCAGTCAGCTCCTTCGCTTGTGCCAGAGCACGTGATAGCGACCATTTCTATTGTGGACCGAGACGCAGGGCGATGACCCTGTACCAATTAAGGAGTCATTCTGTTTGAGATTGGAAGACATTTGCCAGTCATTGCAAGCAGCCAATGTAGAGGAATTTACAACAAGATCAACCATACCCGCGGTCGCGACGCTTAATGACGCAGTGATAGCTAGAGATGCAGCTGGATCAAAATTGAATTGATGTGATTTCAGGGTAGTACACTCAAGATTTAAGGGGACCAAGGCGCCCGTTAGCTGTGCATTAAGATAGTTCAAGAGTTTTAGAGCAGGTTAACGCTAAAATGAAAGAACACGGTCGTCTCACTCAACTTTCCACTGCAACTTCCTAACGTCGTACAACAGCTCAAAATGAAGTTAGGAAGTTGCAGTGGAAAGTTGAGTGAGACGTTCAAAGACCAGATCAAGAACCGATGTCTTCTAAAGACTCAGAGTCAAAACACAGACGAAGAATAAGCGAGCCATCGTTGCATGAATTCGAAGACGCATGTGTAAGAACCTTTGCGACATTGAACAGTTCATGTCTAAGAAAAAACCGGCTTGTGACTGTTGACCCCCACAGGACATGACATTATGGGAAGGCCCAGCTAATTGCACATCAATGCAATTCCAGGCGAGTGACCAACCGCTTAAGTAGAAAAAAGAAGGAAACAAACGTTACTAGAAAACAAACTCTTTTAACGACTAGGAGAGGGATTAGTGGGGAAAGAGGAAACCTTGGATCGCGGTCACCACTCATTTTACCAAAACAAACCCCTCTTCTTGAGACATCAAACTTCCACCAGCACGTCAGCTGGGCTGATGGTCCAACTTCATTGTGAAGCTCTGGATATGGAAAGAATGGGCTTGTTTCCCCTAATAAAGGGGGTCCTTGAACAACATTTCTGATGAAAGTGGGGAGCGATCACGTTGCTGGTATGCGCTCGAGAAGATCGAAGAGACAGAGGTGAAGCAGCTAAACTTTACTGTCGTTCCTTAGAAACGGTCGCTTACCTTTGTGGCCATGTCTTCCATTGGAGTAACGTAAACACATTTAGCATCGGGATTATTTTCAAAGTGACGGAGAATGGCGAGTTCTGCACAAGCTGTTTTTCCTGAGCCATTTGGAGCGGCGATCAAGACATTGTCGTTGCTTTCGTAAACAGTTCGGAAAACTGCAAATGATGAATGCTCATGATCCGCAGACTAGACATTCTAACAACCTCATATTTTTGCAATACTTATAGCTTAAATAAAGCTAACCTTGTGTTTGTATTGGGTTGAAGATTTTGATCTCCTTCGCCTGGAACACCGCTTCAAATGATTTATTGTTCAGCGCAGATATCGGCAAAGGTTGTAGATCGAGCAATTCCGTTGGAGGAGGATATTTTTCTGGTAGTACAAGATGACGGAAGGAAATAGGTAGCACCTAGACAGAATTCGTTAACACATATATTTCTTTCGCAAACGGTTAATCGAATAAAGGACCCACTGTTTCAGATCCAAGCCATCTATCCGATACAATCCTCACAAAGTAAAGTGGCGGCAACGGATCAAACACAGGAACGAACATTTTCACCACATGCTCTTCTGTGCAGAACTTCCTGAAAAAAGAGAAATAATCGGTATTGTGGCCAAAATTGACTGACGCTCATTCCAACCAGCGGTATTAAAGCCCAATGCAAAATAATTATGGAAACTCAAGACGGGACTCACTGTTTCAAGAGGAAATACTCATGGTGAAGGATCAGTTCGCCATCTACATCCTCGACGAAAATCCAGAAACCTTCTGCGCTGCCATGTACTCTGAACGTTTTCGATTACTAATAGCTGCTAAAATGTAGAAGAAGATGGTACTCACTTCTCATCCCATTGGAAATCTGGAGTGATGGTCAACTCAATGCGGAGTGTAGTTCTCGTTATTGGCTGTATGAGTGTCGTCATTTCTAGTTTCGGGAACTGAAAGATGACCCGAATGTCACTAAGAAATCATTGGCTTCTCTTTTGTTTATTAGTGACCGACCTGTCTGATGAATTTGTACAACGGTTTCCCCATTTTCGGCATGCGGATCAGTTCTCCAAGTTGATGTTGATCGAGATCGTAGAGGCGCTCGAAAGAATAATTCCTCTTGTCAATACTACGTACAATCTGAAAACATTATTACAACTAATTATTCGCAATCATTTGTTAAGTATAGAATCAAACAGGCGCTCAGACCCCGTACTATTAGAAAAAAACGTATCGCCTACTTCTGTTGGAATTTTCTTAAACTGATGAAGAGGATTCAACGATTGCCACTGCCGAGCTGTCACCATTTTGCACAAGCTCAACACTTTCTGAAGCATACAAATAAGTGGTCACATGGTGGAAAGATAAAAATCGCAAAAAAAATGATTGACGTACCAATGCTAAGGCTGCCCACCCTCGCCAAAGGACAATTTCATACAAAGCTCTGAATAGACGGCCTGCGGACTGAGCGATGAACACCATATCAGATTGCAGAGCGAAACCATCCAGTTTCAGTTGCGAAATGTAGGCCTAAGAATGAAGAGATGTAACTATTTTGCAGAGTAAACAACTGACCATAAAAAATACCTGAAGGAGAACATTGGTTTTGGCACTACTCTCGTCCAAGCTCTCCTTGATTGGAATTGGTACATGTTCCGCCAGCTTCTGCAGCTCTAGTTTCTCCTCCTCTCGAACCTTAACAACACATTTTCTATTTTATTAGATAGGCAATAAAGTTTGTTTCGATTCTATTTTCAAAATGATAATCTGATAGATAGATATAAGAGATATTATCATTAGAAAGATCACCGGTCTTTTGACATCCATTGAGCAAATCGACGATGCCTTCTACCCAAGAGCCTTCAAGCTCGTCCAACAAGCTCCAAAGAATCACTAATTGGCTTTTTTAGGGCGTCATAAATTACAAGTTGTCTTTCTTCAAAATGATGCTCCAGTAGGACGTTTATTGTAATCAAAATGTTTTGTGCTGAGAGTCCGGTACAAGAGCACCTTGTTCCAGCCGAGCATTATTTTTTGAAGGGGTCTATGAAACAAAATTTTTATTGTTCAACCATTGATGATAAGTTTGCGAAAACGCCCGATTTACCAATAATTGACTACCCCGGAAATGATTTGAGATTGTCATACTTATAATAATATTTTCACTGTTTATTCAATATTTAGCGCTTAGCATTTCTGTTGAATAACATCCTCACCAACATCATACTGTGCTGGCTCTTAATTTATGAGTCGATTAATACTCATCCTTCTCGACCCAAAAAATTGAAACAAAGTGACTTTTCTGTAAAAATCATTTTTCCAGGCCACCTATTTGATGACAAAGACACTAATGACAACATGTTAGTCTACAAGTGAAAATGAATTTGTACCAAGCGTACAAAACAAGTAAATAGATAAATGTCCCATTTCGAACGACGAAATCGTTTAAAAGGAAATGTCATAGGAAATAAACATGAAATAGGTTACCCAAAGAATAATAACGACGAAAACTTGAAAATGGTATGGTATGCCTTTCCAAACAAAATTCACTACTCGAACTCGATCGAAAAGTTAAGACAATAGGAACTAATGACCCACCATGATGTTTTTGAATTCACTGGACAACGAGAAAATGCGGAATAAATCGATTTCCGTTGCTGTAGGCTTCAAAAGCTGGTTATATGTCTGCATGGACTCATAAGTACAGTAGTAATGAGAAGCGATGCGCCCCAGTTCAGTTGCCTGAATAATGGAGAATTCGAGTACTACATGGAAACATTGAGAACGATGTAAAAATTATTTAGGAACACCTTTAAAAACACAAAGTCATAAACAATACCTGAATCAAACCACTCTTTTTGTCGTATTTCACCAAGTTGCCCTTGTCAAGCTGCAAACATGCAGTGTGAATGAGGTCCGCACGACGTTGTTCAAGAAGAGGATCAGCTTTCTGAAAGCAACTGGCTACTTCACAAAGCACGAAAGCAGAGCAAGTGACAAGATTGGTATTTTCTTGAAGACTGAGGCATCGCGGTCTACAAGATCTAACTTCCTGCTTCACATAATCGAAAGGATACATCAACTAAATTTACCCACCGCTTGGTCAAGTGGTATACCATAGAGCACCGGAGACTTCAGCATTCGAATGTAAAGATACGTATATCCAAGCCACGACATAGCGTCGCTGACACTGCTGATTGTGCCAAGAACCACCTCAGCATTGAGCATGTCTGGTAAGCGAGCTATCATTTGGCTTTCCACAGGTAGCTGAAATGAATTCGGAAGTACACACTTCATTGAAATTCAAAGAAAAATTCAATTCAAAGAAATGATGTATCCACAAACCTGCTGATTCATCAGGGAAAGGTAGAACTGCAGCTCTGAATGGTTTGTGATCAAGATCCCTTTGCCTTTGGAATCATACTGTGGACGACCAGCGCGACCAAGCATCTATAAAAGAAAATGAATCGTCGTATAGGGTAAAGATAGAGCAATTCTCCGTATAGCAAACCTGCATCACATCTAGTGCACCCAGTTCCGTCCATCGCCCTTTCTCTGGATTGTATATCTGGGTGCCTTTGATGATTACGGTATGAGCTGGCAAATTCACTCCCCATGCCAGTGTTGCGGTAGAAAACAACACCTAGAACACAAACAACTGCAGAAAAGCGTAGAACTACAATAAGACACGAATACGTGGGAACAGATCAATGACTTTTGTCATACGTGTTCAATAGAAAAAGAAATAATCCAATACCTGAATGTGCTTGTCGGCAAACAGATCCTCAACAAGTGTACGATCAAGCCTGTTCATTCCAGCATGGTGAATAGCGAATCCGTACGGAAGCAAATCTTTCAACTCATGATTTTTCACCTAAAGACAAGGTATAATTGGAAAATCCACACAAGCTCGTTACAAAAACTTTACAAGACGACTTACTTGTTCAGCCTCGGTTCGAAGAATCTCAGTACTTGCACTGCCTTCCCGCATGAACGCACAGAGCGTGTCTTTTTCAAGACATGCATCACGAATTGCTTTTGCTGTTTTAGCCGTCTCCTTTCGAGAATGGACGAAAATAAGCACCTAGACGCACCAAAATAAGAGCCCATTGGAAATGTAGTGCACATATTCCAGTGAAAAAACAGACCTGACATTTCCCTGCGTGCTCCATGATTTTGTCGTATACCACCTCGTTCATTGCTTGGAACCGTTTAAGCGCTTTCTTTTCAGTCACTCCTTGAAAGCACATCTTACAGTTTCGGGATATTTATGGCGCTGCACAATAATACAAAATACCTATATACTGCTGCTCTAATGGTACAGGTCGGTAACTGTTATCGAAATAGTAAAGATGCTCAGGCTTTACACGCAGAAAGGTTCCCACATCTTGATAATTAGGAAGCGTTGCTGACAGACCAACAAGTCGACAATCATCATGTGTTTGTTCAACTTGCCGAAGGGTTCTGCAACAGATATGTTTTGATGGGTTTTCAGAGGGCATAATTAATTAGAAAGAGAGCCGGTACCTGACAACGATTGCTTCAAGCACAGGCCCACGATCATCATGTAGCAAGTGAATCTCATCAATAATCACTAGTCGAACAAGTTGACTGTAGGCACGTTCACCGCCTAAACCAAATTCGTTAGAACTTCAGGAGATGGCTCAAACTCTACACAAATTCACCTTTTCTCGAAACTATATCGTACTTTTCCGGAGTGCAAACAATGACCTGAGTAGCCATGAACTGCTCCTTGTTCATTTGTGCATCCCCAGTCATTTCTCCCACCTTGAATTTCATATAGGATTTCTATTACATGCAAAATGCACTGGACTTCTCACCGTTATTCCAAATGGAGCCAGTCTTTTGGTGAAATTTCCAACCATCTCTTGCACGAGTGATTTCATCGGAGCGATGTATATGCATTTAAACTCGTCTACTTTCACACTTCCATCCTCATTCAGATGTTTTCCGACCTCGTGAAGGATTGCCAGCAATGCTACATTCGTCTTACCTGCTCCCTAAACAAAAAGAACATTAAAGAAAGTACAAAAGAAACAAGATAAAGAACGTACGGTGGGTGCGCAAAGAAGAAGGTGCTCATCACTGTTCAAAGCACTCTCACAAAGACGAGACTGAATACGATTCAAAGACTTGAAGCCTTCAAATGCCGGTTGGACCCACTTCGGCAGCTCGCTAATGTCTATTAATTTCTGCAAGCAAATAAATTAAAAATGAATCCACTAGTGTCTTCAGCTGCGAGCTAACCTCTCCTTCGGCAAAAGGCTTCGGTTTCAGAGCGGGCACGTGTATCTCCTCATAACTTTTCTTCTGTTTCCTGTACGATCCGTCCGGGAGTTCACATCTGCAAATGTGAAAAAAACTACATTGGGAATGACTTTTACTTGCAAGCTTCTGTTATAACTGAATTTTAACTTCTCCAGAAAAAAACATTGTATTCTTCCGCTTAATATAAATTGCAGTTCCACTCGTAGTCATAATTCAAAACAAGTAGTACCTCTTATTGCTCATCAAGTGACTTCCTTGAGAAAACGTCAGGTCTTCCAAATCGAGTACCTTCCTTGCAGCTAACCACTGACCAGCAGCAACAGCTTCTTCTCCAGCAGCAGCCGCTGCTCGCCTTTGTGCTGTCTTTTCCCGTTTAGCTCGTTCAGTCTGAAAATGAGAATATCGTGAAGAGTAGAGGTATGTAGCATCACGCTCTCAGTTCACCTCTATATGAGATGCTTATCTACGAATTACATGCCTAGAGCCACAGTCAGCCGCATTAACTAGTTGTCTTGCGCGAAGAGGACCGACCGTTTGTGACGCCCTTCCGGAAATAGAAAGTAAACAGATTAGGTAGTTCACCTCAACTATATCGGCCTCGTCGGTCTCAAGAAGCTGCGCCAAAACGTGATGTAATTCAGGTTTCATTTTCATTTCTTCTTCGATCTAAACAGAGAACTTCAGACTAGCCAGGTCCGAAAGAAAAAAAACCAACCTTGACTCTTTCTTCGTCTTGGGCTTGTTTGAGTAAGGTGCAGTAGAGCACCATATGTCGATGTTGTCTCAGAGTGCGAATAAAATCAAAGTGGTCGAAACCGAGCAAAAGAACCAGCTTGTTCTCACACTCACGGTCGTCAGCTGAGTCCTATAGAGGGTCATAGAAAGAAATGTTAGCTATATTTAAAGGTTTCGCATTTGCTGCGATGTGGGACTTGCGGAAGGACAACAAACCTTTAAAATGCTCAGGACTTCCGTTACTTTTTGTTGAGCCACAATGGGATCGTTGAAAAACTTCGCCAACGAGCGTTGAATCCAATGAGCGTCGATATCTCGTGGATGAAGAGCATCTTTCTTGGTTCTTTCTTCTTCCTTGAAGAGTAAATAGAAAATAATAATAATGAGGATGGTCGAGGTCGAAGATTAGAATGGACTTCACAGTTAAAACACTGCTCACCTCGTCGAAACCTTCACCTCGAAGGGTTTCATTATGCTCAGCCTCCTCCCCACCTTCATCATCGCTAGAGCTTTCATCGACATCTACAACAGTTTTAAATGACTCCCAACTAATCTCTCAGAAACCTGGGTAAAGAAGTTGTTCTATCGACTAAACCATTTTAAAGGTCCCTTCAGAATGGAACCTGCCCTTCGTCAGAAAATCCGTTATGCAAGTTCTTGACTCGCGCACGACTACACCATTATGTGATTAGGCATCCAGCTAATTAGATAATGCAAGTGAGTTCATGACAGAGTGCAAGAAAATAAACTGCAAAATACACAAAATCCCCCGCTAGGGGTACGAAAGTAAACTACCAGTACACACTTTTGATTTCGTCAATGACAGCATCTTGTTCTTCGTCCGACTCATCAAAATGCACATTGACACCTTCGTTTTCATCAAGCTCGTCCTATACGTAAAAACCATGAATGGTAGTTAAAACATGAACAAACGAAGTGCGAAACAGTAAGCTACCATTTCCATTTTATGTTCATCTTCCATGGAGAAGTCTGTTATTTTTCGGGCCAAGTTAATAAGCACCGCAGTTCTTTCGTCCGTCAAAGGACCGAGCAATAGTTCTACCTAAGAAAGAGTTTTTTGAAAGAGAGAGTTTTCGAAAGATACCAACAATATGAATTAGTTACCTCCTTTTTCTTTTCTTTCTCTCGCACTTTATCTGACTTCAGTACTGCTAAAACCTCATCTGCAGCACCACAAAGGATATCACGCGGCTAAAATTTGTATGATATCCAAACCGTACAGCTTTCAAATACAAAAAATCTCACCTGATCTCCAATGGCTTCTTGTATGAAAGCTAGAATAACTTCATAGGTCTGCTTGGTTTCCTGGGTACGCGGTTTATAGCTTCCCATAAGTTCAGTATTATCTCCAATGACAGATTTCGACATAAGCCGAAAGTCTTCCTCTTCTGTTTTCCTCTTTCTGTAAGACAACGGTGATAAGAAAGTAATCTATGCCATGACGGAGACAAACCGTTTTTTCTTCTGTTCCTGTATAGGCGCTTTCGTCCGCATGTATTTATCACCCATTTTCATGCCCTTCAAGACACGATCGGAAAGTGGTAAAACTTCACCAGTGGGTTCCTCACGACCACGCCGATCAGTGAGATTGTAGTCCACTTGCAATACCAAGTTGGAATTCTAAAACGCACATTGCATTAACATTCCTTTTACGTTACCTGCACCAACATTAAGTGTGACCAATAGTAAAGGGGCCAACCTGTCGGTATTCATATTGCTGTACACGTGCTAGTTCGTCAGCCATTGTGTGATATCTTTCCCCTCTGAACGATATAACTTCAACATTTCCAAAACAAGCAAATCACAGCAGAAAAATTCACTATAACGTTTAAAGGATTTTAACGGATCTCGGACCGCTTAATACAAGCCAAAAAGAATATAGAAGCTTTTATCATATTAGAAACCTCACAAGCACAATCAACTAGTTCAAGGGTACAATCACAATCGCAAGACTATGCACAACACATTTGTTCAAACCCTACTCGAAATCACAACGAGAACAGTGTTATATACATGGTAATCAATTTCTAATCGATATGGGTGTTAGATAAGAATTAGTAATTATATAACAACGTAATTTCTATTTTGTTGGTCAAATTAAAGCAAAAAGAAACACTGGAAATGTAACAAAACTACAGCTAAACTTATTATTTGAGTAACTTATTAAGAAGGAAAAAGTCAAAGACTTGTTAAAGCTAATCGCTCTTAGTGACATGCAGTCGTTTTGCAAGTATTGCATCAGTATCGTACTTCACAACTGTCTGAGCTGCAGTAACTAGATGAACCAGACTTATAGCCGATTTAACTAATGCTATTGGAAATGCAATAGCTGCAAGATACGAGAGTAGGTAAATTCCAAATATCGTCGGTCCCGGCCAAAAAGCACGAACGTAGAGAATCAGGTAGAACGCTTCGTTGCCTCCGCACATGAATCCAAGGAAAGACCGGTTCGTATAATAAAGGTGCAAAATGGGATTGTCACTCTTTTTATGTGTTTCAGCATGAGTCAGGTCAGTAGCATGAAGATGTAGCCAGTGAGAGGCAATGTCAATCACAGTACTCATCTGAACCGAAAGCATACATTTTTCAATAACATACGCAATCAGAAGAACGTACCTGAAGCCAAAAGACCGAATCAGGATAGAATTTACATAGGGCCATGCACAAAGCCATAGTGCCACATCTATCAGTGAGTTGATCTAGCATGGCACCAAATCTGCTGCTCTGATTGTATGCCCTTGCTACCATCCCATCAATTGCATCCAGACCCGCACTCAATGCATAGCTGAATTAACGAGTCTACAAAGGAGCACGATGCACATAGTGAACTAGATCTTGAATTTCCCTTTCCTAATTTGAAACAAGACATTTATAGTAGGGACGGTCAACAATAAATCATTCTAGACGACAAATTCGGACTTTCTTTTATTATTCTGACCACCAAAGTTGCATGTGGAACAAGCTATTTAGTTATCGCAAGAGATTATTCATAAGGGAATGTAAAGTAGGCACTGCAAACAGATCTGCGGTTTTACCTACAAGTGGACCAGGGGGCATTGAATCCTGTGGATCTTGCACTGTAAGGCTCCTTATCAGTCCCTATCAAATGCTATCACTTTCCATCACCTATTATTCCCATTCTGTGGCATGGATCCCTTTCAAATTTGGACGCTCTTCGTCTAGGGGGATGAATTTCCTGTCAAACACTGACACCAACAAATACCATACATACAAACAAACAGTCATACACACTTATAAAAAACAAACACTCAGCAAATTTCCTCAAGCAAAATGCTTTAGATAACATTTGTTCTTCGAATCAATTATCAACCTAACATATTTATAGTTTATACGTATCATAAAAGAGAAATGAGTTAATGCCAAACTCTTCACAGTCAGGCAGAGAAATCAGCCAGATATAAAAACGCACCAAAGCATGGCAGTGAATGGACAGTCGCTCATAGCATAACAAGCAAGAATGGCTAGAATGATGCGACCATATCCAATGAGATTTGGATAGAACAGGAAGACGTTCGGTTGCTCTTCGGCCATCTATAATGAAATTGTTACAAACGCCAGTGACCAACGTGAAACTTGCCAACAACAAAACGCCGAACGCCAATGTCAAGAAGTTGCCTACCCAGAAAAGTATCGCATGGACGAAGACGGAAACACTGTGCACAGAATCAAGACTTTTTCTACCACATAATAAATGCTGTGACTACCTCGATCGGCAGTTACCAAGTGGGCCTACTTGTTCGAACCAAACTTACCAGGTAAGAAAAGAACAAAGAATACCATCTGTTTGGGCAGAATGGGTTGAAAATGGGACATGGCGATAGCCGGGATCAGTATAGGCCTCTATGCTTGAATCGAGCTCTTTATACATGCTCTTTCGCTCGGATACACTGGACCTATTTGGATCTTCACCAAAAATGAAGTGGTCTTGTGTCCTGACCCGCGACATGGACCTCGAACACATTCTTCACCAACCCATAGAGCTTCAGTTTTATTTTTACCAGAATTACTGTGAAGAAAGACATCAGGGTGAAAATGCATATAGAGGTAACCAGTAATGTCGTGCCCTGTCCACGCTTTCTCACCACGGAGATATCCTTTTGAGTGTATCCCGATTCTGACTTTTGGAACGAGATCATCATCTCTCCCATCCCAACGCTACTCAACTTCTTGACCTCAGGCGAAAATCCTATCTTCCTAATTCAGGATTTCTTCTTCTCATAATTGTATTTCCGTAAACCGGTGCTTTATCCACATCTGTGATACAGCTCTCAGTGATTGAGACGCAAAGCACAGTGAAGTACCCCCCNCCCCCCCCCCCCCCCCCCCCCAAATAAATTATCGTCTAAAAGCGAATCGGTGCAATGAAATGCTAAGTGCATTTCAAAGATTTTCCACTCATCCTCGAGCTCATAGAGAAACTACTACTTCTCTACTTTTCCAGAGTATGATCTTAATGGGTTTATCTAACTTCAAAAAGCCACAGAAATACACAGGTCATTCAGGCATACTGATTGAAAGCTATCCAATTGAAAACCAAGACTGATGGAGACCAACGAGCAATATAAAGCAAACTGCCATTTGAAGCTTTCTGCTTACTGGTTAACATACACGCTGCTTTCAAGCGGTCACTTTTTACATTTTGCACCTTTGTTGCTTAACTGTCTGTTATGTTCAAGAGTTCTCTTTAAGGTAAAAAAGCGTACAGCGAGTGAAAAAGAAGACGGGGAACATAGCGAGCAAACCTTACATTTCGAGAAACACACAAAATCCAAGAAACATGAATTGAACCGAGTGAAACGATGAGAATTCCAACCCTTTAAAGCAAGTCTTTTGAGGTTAAGATATGAAGAAGGAGATTCAGACGAGAGTACTCAATATTATTCGCGAGAGGTTGAGGCCCGATCTATTCGAAAGTGGACGCGAAAAAATTGGCGCCGTAAGCGGCACTGCAGCGCCGCTCGCGCCGTCGCTGGGTCGCGATAACCGCGCTTGCGGACGGGACCGGTGTAAACGACGACGACTGGCGACTGAACTTTGTCGGACTGTATGGACTCTCTTAAATAGGGATGTCTTCTAAATGAGAGACTGTTTTAAAATTTCCTATAGGTGAAGGGGCCAGTATGCTGTGCTTTGCGTCTCTTATGCAGACGGTTAGGTGCAGCGAAGGATGGGTCAAGGCTTTGCTGGCCTGTGCTGGTGCCTCGAAACAATTCCGAAATAGGAAAGTGGATTTTTGGACCTGCCCCTTCCCCATAAGGAGAGGAGGAGCA